TCAACCCAGAGCTCACCTCCTGTAGCTCAGGGGCTGGTGAGGGGCACGCTTCCAAAATGAGGCAAATCTGTAAACTGAGCTATAATCCAGATGCCCTGGACTGTCCCAGCGTCACTCTCAGAGCCCACTGACCCAGGTCCCTCCCCCAGGGCCCTGTGTCCTGCCCTGTGCACAGGCTGAGTGCCACGGATGTCACTGGGCGATGCCAGGCGGAGGCCTGCTGCTCTCCAGAGCCCAGGCCTCCATTGTTGTTAATCCTGACCCGAGAATACTTTTTCCACTGAATTTTAGAGCGTGGAAGGCGGGGGCGGAGGGCACATCGTGTGAGAGACGCATCAGTTGGCTGCCTCCTGCGTGAGTCCCCACTGGAGGCAGGGATTGAGCCTGCACCCCCGGCACGTGCCCTTGACCAGGAACCCAACCGAGACCCTTTGGGGACCGCAGCGCCGTTGATGAGACAGCGCCTCTGCGCCCCAAGTGGAGGGAGCTGGGGCGCTGGACACAGCGAGGAAACGCGCCTTTAAGGCCAAACTCCCCTGAAAGGTCAGAGTAGAGGTTTCTGGACCTGCGGGCCAGTGGGTCTCTGTTTTGGGGGCGACTCAGCTCAGCCCTGGCAGCTCGAAAGCATCCACAGACCACTGGGGAGCGGTGGGATTTTGCCCCGGGCGCGCTACTTCACCCCTGAACCCCGAGCCCCCCGCGGTCCTCCCGGGTTCCGGCGGCCAGCGCTGCGGCACTGCCTGCACCGCCCCAGCAGGTGGCGCCAGACCACCGCCCGCAGGTCGGCCTCTCGGGGGAGACCCCGGCGGGCCTGGGGCTGACCCGGGGCAGGGGAGGGGGGACGGGGAGAGCAGGTGGGAGCCCCAGCCCTGACACTGAGCTCGCCCGGAGGACTCAGCCCGGTCACGGCGCCTCTGCAGTGTGTGGCCATAAGTATTGTTTTGTGAAGCTTCCGGAGCTGTTTAAACACGGGGACGTGTGGACGGGGTGGCGAGGTAGAAATACGTCTTGCCGTGGTAAGAAAACTGAGCTGGCGGGAGAGACGGGTCCATAAGGGACTCTGCAGCTTTGGGGGTGGAGAAAGGGTAGGGTTCACAGTTAGAATCCCCCTCCGAGGGCCAGGGAAGGGGTCGCACCCGGTTGGAGGCGGTTTCCCAGAAAAGGGGACATTTGATCCAGGTTTTGAAGGTTGAGTAGGAGCTCGGCAGGTGGTGAAGTGATAGAGGGGCAGTAAAAGCAAGTATGCTGGGGCATGTCATGAACTAGAGCCATGGGGCTTCCTCCAGAGCTGAGGGGGGTCCTGGGGCATCCCTAGGGGGGAGAGCTGGGCGGGCGCCGGAGAGGAAAACCAACACTGGCAGGTGGGGGGCGGAGCAGGGGGCCAGTGCGGAGACGATGCGCCGTAAGAAACGCTCCTCAGTACACCCCCCTCCTCTCGCTGCTTCACAGCTGCTCTGGAAACTTGTCAAAACTCGGGGCCTCGGGCCTCCTCGCCCCCCCCCCTCCGTCTGACCCCGCCACACCCCGCTCACCAGCACGGCGGGAGCTGAAGGGTCAGGACCACTCGCGCCAACAATACTGGGTCCTTCCTACAGGCAGGGACTGGGCGTGAGCGGGTTGGGGTCCGGACTCAACTAGGTGACAAGCGGGCACTTGGCTGCTGCGGGTGGGGACGGACAGCCGCTTCCTCCTGGGTGCAACTTGCAGCCTCTGAACTGGGCGGAATTCAGGCGAAGGCCCCGTGCTGGCTACATCCAAGGAGAAGCGCCTCCCTCCCCGACACCTCGTGGGATTAAAATACTTTTAAAACGTCGGCATCAAGACCCTC